CATGGATGGATCCCAGTGCCGATGGCTGGGCTGATGCCTATGCCAAAGCCAAGGACTTTGTCTCCCAATTGACTCTTCTCGAGAAGGTCAACTTGACCACTGGAGTCGGGTACGTATACCGTCTTCTCTTCAACCGAAAATGGCTAACATGACTACAGATGGCAAGGAGACGTTTGTGTTGGAAACGTCGGTTCTGTTCCCCGCCTCGGTCTTCGTGGTCTTTGCATGCAAGACGGCCCGTTGGCATTCGTTTCACCGATTACAACTCCGTCTTCCCCTCCGGCCAGACTGTCGCCGCGACCTGGGACCGAGGCTTAATCTACCGCAGAGCCGAGGCCATCGGTTTCGAACACCGCTCCAAGGGTATTGACGTTGTCCTCGCCCCCGTTGCCGGACCCATTGGTCGTGCACCAACTGGAGGTCGCAACTGGGAGGGCTTCTCCGTGGACCCTTACCTCACAGGTATCGCCATGGCCGAGTCGGTCAAGGGTATCCAGCAGCACGCCATTGCCTGCGCCAAACATTTCGTTGGCAACGAGCAGGAACACTTCAGACAAGCTCCGGAAGCTATTGGCTACGGATACAACATTACCGAGTCCATCTCGTCCAACATTGATGACAAGACTATGCACGAGCTCTACATGTGGCCATTTGCCGATGCCATCCGCGCCGGCGTTGGTTCCATCATGTGCTCGTACAACCAAGTCAACAACTCGTACGGTTGCCAGAACTCGAAGCTTCTCAACGGACTTCTCAAGGAAGAGCTCGGCTTTCAAGGATTCATCATGTCTGATTGGTGAGCGGTTCTCAATATTGTTCTAGATATGTAGAGGGATAATGGCTAACATGACTGCAGGCAAGCTCAACACGTGCGTATCCCCTTTATAGCTGAAGGAAGATTTGACTTCATTCGCCTCTCTTTCCTAGCTCGTGTAGAATTTTCATGCTGACTCTGAAATAGGCCGGTGCTGCTACCGCTGTTGCAGGCCTCGACATGGCCATGCCGGGCGACGTTCTCTTCAACACCGGAACTACGTTCTGGGGAACCAACTTGACCGTTGCTGTCCTCAACGGCACCGTCCCAGAATATCGCCTTGACGACATGGCTCTGCGTATCATGGCTGCCTTCTTCAAGGTCGGCTTTGAGGTGGAATCGGTTCCGGAACTTACCTTCTCCTCATGGACAAAGGACACCGTTGGACCCGTTCAATACTACGCCAAGGAAAACACCCAGGTCATCAACCAGCACGTTGATGTTCGTAAGGGCAGAGACCACGCCAACCTGATTCGCGAGATTGCCGCCAAGGCCACTGTTTTGTTGAAGAACAATGGCGCCTTGCCACTCAACAAGCCCAAGTTCTTGGCAGTCATTGGAGAGGATGCCGGACCCAACCTTAAGGGCCCCAACGGATGCGACAACAGAGGCTGCAACGATGGCACTCTGGGTGCTGCATGGGGATCAGGAACGGCAGAGTACCCTTACTTGGTCACCCCTGACCAGGGATTGTCTGCCCGTGCTGTTGCCGATGGTACTCGTTACGAGAGCATTCTGAGCAACTACGACACTGCGGCTACCACGGCTTTGGTTTCCCAGGCAGATGCCACGGCAATCGTGTTTGTCAATGCCAACGGTGGTGAAGGTTTCATCAACGTCGGAGGCAATGAGGGCGACCGCCAGAACCTGACGCTTTGGAACGCCGGGGATGAGCTTGTCAAGAATGTTTCGGCGATCAACAACAACACCATTGTCGTGATTCACTCCATCGGCCCAGTTCTGTTGACTGACATGGTTAACAACCCCAACATCACCGCTATTGTTTGGGCCGGCCTTCCTGGACAAGAGTCCGGTAACTCGATTGCTGATGTCCTCTACGGAAACGTTAACCCGGGAGGCAAGTCTCCCTTCACATGGGGCCCCAACCGCGAAAGCTACGGTGCCGATGTTTTGTACGAGCCCAACAATGGCGAGGCGGCGCCGCAGGACGACTTCACTGAGGGCGTCTTCATTGACTACCGCCACTTTGACCGTGCCACTGCTGGATCTAACAGCTCCGACGTTGCACCCATCTACCCCTTCGGCTTTGGTCTCTCATACACCACCTTTGAGTACTCCAACTTGGCCGTGACCAAGGGCAATGCCGGCGCGTATGCCCCGACGACTGGAGAGACGGCGGCAGCACCCACGTTCGGCAACTACAGCACAGATCCGGCCGAGTACGTCTTCCCCAGCAATGAGTTCCGGTACATCTACAACTTCATCTATCCCTACCTGAATACCTCGGATGTCAAAGAGTCTGCCAACGACCCAACCTACGGCAAGACTGCCGAGGAGTTCCTTCCTCCCAACGCTGTTGCAAGCACTCCTCAGCCCAAGCACCCCGCATCCGGAGCCCCTGGCGGTAACCCGCAGCTTTGGGATGTCCTCTACACGGTGACTGCTACGGTGACCAACACGGGCAAGGTGGCTGGTGACGAGGTTGCTCAGCTCTATGTCTCGCTCGGCGGACCAGAGGATCCCGTCAAGGTGCTCCGGGGGTTTGAGCGCATCCCTATTGAGGCCGGCGCGTCGGCGACGTTCAAGGCGGAGATTACCAGACGTGACCTCAGCAACTGGGACACGGCGAGCCAAAACTGGGTCATCAGCGAGTACCCGAAGAAGGTGTGGGTTGGAAGCTCATCAAGAGACCTGCCCCTGAGTGCGTCGCTGTAGATGGCACAATATTTGCAGTTGGATTGTGGAGGGGATGCGGCGACTTGAATAGTACCCAGTAGTTTTTAATCAATCATGTCTACTCTTATCGGCTAAAGATTTTCCCGTGCTTGCTGAGAAACACGATTTTCTCTGAGCCAGCCAACTAGCTGGTCCTATTGTTCAGCAAGCCACGATTAAAACTCTTCGCGATCACGTTGTTTATGGCCGTTGTATGCATTCGGATCACAGAAATAAATCAGGGATGAAGATGTGACTGACTCAAGCAGCAGCACGTAGTGACGCAACATGGACCACATTTCGGCTCACGGAGGACGATATGCCCTTGCAGGGCAGGTTACAACATGACGTGAGGGTAGAGAAATTTTGACGATTTCGACGGTCAATGATTGACATCAATTTGCTCGTAGGATCTTTAAGATATCGTCGATCTAGGGCTTTAGGGGGCGAAGAAAGGGTGTAAGGTAGGTCTGGATCTAGATCCATCAGTTGAAATGCCCAACTCAGACCGAAAAGTATTTACGCTCACCGACACTCACCTGTAGCCCCGCCCAGGTGACGACAGACCCGGGAGACTGTGAGGTAGAGACACACGGATACACCGTGCCCGCGCTGAGGTGTTTATCACTGATCAAATCAAAGTCCGTCGTGCTATTTTATGTAAGCATAAGGTACGGAGTAATTGGTCTGGTGATGCAGTGACAGCGAAGGAAGGAAGGCAGAAACGGGAGTCTGGAAGGTGTCGAGGGCTCCAAAGTGGGGTAAGTCACGAGTGGGTCTTGGCAGTTGGGCAATCGGAGAGTGAAGCTGAGCTATACCTGATCTGGCTTTAGCGTGGGTGATCCGAAGCCGCTCTGACCCCAGAGCGATCAGTGAGCAGTCAGAAAGGCTGGAAGGCAGGGCCACCCGTAGTGTTATCACTGCGGAATTCCTTCTATTTTTCGGTTCATTCTTACTCATCCAAAGACTTAGCTAAGCAATGGGTGGAAATTCCAAGGGTCCCGCGCAGCCGGAGGGGAAGGAGCAGCGTGGCAGCCAACTGGACGAAAGAGTTGAAGAAACACAGACATTGGACCAACGCCTCTCAGCTTGAACCCCGCTGCTTCCCGTCTCTTTCGTTGCGCCTTCTTGTCCTGTCCTTGTCCTGTCTTGTATCCAGTGTGTTCCATTGACATCTTCTCTCTCCCTTCTCTTCTTTCCTTTTCCGTTTCCGTCTGTAGAAATCCTCCATTCCCGGTGCCCGAGTCTCGCGACCAGTTTGCATTTCGCTGCTGCTTTCTTGAGCCTCGCCCGATTGCATGGCGCGCACTGCGTTACCTTGCAGCTGTCATAGGCTCTACTGCTACTGTTCAGTGGTGGTGCGAACCCATCTGCGATTCGCGAACGCCCATCTCGCCGTCGCTTCGGGATCTCGGCATTCAGTCTTCACTTAGGCTGTAGCTTCTTTTGCTGGTCCCCTCACCTGCTTTCTCCTCTCCTCCAATCCCCAACCTCCAAACGCCCCCTCTTCAAGAGAAAAAAAAGAAGGGACTCCTCTTTCGCCAACAACGGAGCCGCATTGGAACCATTGGAACCACACACCAGCCAGCCCGGCCAGGCTTCGAACCGCAAACAGCACAAGCTCCATTTCCTCGTTTCTCGTTTCCTCTTCTCAACGGCCGGTAACGCGCACCCGGGCGGCAGAGAGAAAAAAGAAGGAGAAAGAAGACCAATCCAGAAGCACGCATCATTGCCTTGCCTTGCCTTGCCTTGCCTTACCTAAGGAGGTACATCTAACCGCCGCAGCTGGGACCTCTCAAATCCCGAATTGTCTTTCCCACATCCATTACCCGCCTCCGGCCACCAACACCGGCATCCCGAACCAGACACACAGAGACACCCGACCACACACGCCAGGACCGTACGCCGAACGACGTTTTCGCCTTGCTGCAAGAGATTGCAACTCCCAAGTGAAGAGCCCGCCGCCTGCGCGCAAAACTCCACGCCGCACGCGCTCATCACCCCCGATCGGCCGCCCGGCTGGCCCCCCGTCACGTCCGTGAACTGTAAATCCTTCCACCCCGGCGGACGGGCTTCGAAAGGGGGAGTTCCCACCTTTCTGTGCCTGTCCCATACAGAGGTCTGGAGAAAAGCAGCTATCGCCACCACGATCTGTTAGACTCTCAAAGCGGCAGACAGCGAGCTGCATTTGTAGCTGCCACCGTATCCGTGACGTCCTCCACCACCATCTTCACCTCCGCTACTCACGCCGCCGACGACACCCGGGTCTGATGCAAGGCCCGTCGCCATCATGACCGAGTCGCAAACCACCCCGACCCCGGATCAGGCCTCCATCGATGATCTTACCCCCGAGGAGGCCAACCGCATCATCCACTCTCACCGCAAGGTCAGATATGGTGAGTGAGACTGATCCATTCATGAGTGACTTTTTCTCTCTGCCACCGGTGGACGGACAAACATATGCCGTCTGCTCAACATACCTCATCTCATTTCATCCCATATCCTCTAGGTAACAGAGATGAGATGACTTGATCTTCACATCCTCTCACCTTCATCTCACCTCCATATCATAAATCACTCATCTCATCATCTATTGACTCATACTGACTCCTCTCAAGGCACCGCTTGCTGGCCATGTCGCCAACGCAAGGTAAAGTGCGACAACAAACAACCATGCGAAAACTGCGTCAAGCGAGAACACCCACAACTATGCTCCTACAAGCCCAATCGCACAGCCTCTCACGGTACAAACCACAAGGCCACCGGCTCCGTCACAACAGAGGGCGGCAATAGCAATGCCGGCGGTAATGGTGCCAGCACCACAGCCGCACCGACTACAGCAGGTAACGGCACGGCTTCATCAGTGCTCAATCGAAAAAGACCGCATTCGCCCGAAGATCCTGCCGCGGACGCCGCCGCGGGTCAACCTCCCTTAAAGCAGGAACCCGGCAGCGCGACCTGGCCACGCGCGGCCATCGGTAAGTCATCATTGTCGTCTTCACTGCCGCATAACCAGCACATCCATCCTGGTTCGAGACCTTTTGCTTCTGCAGCATCGTCGTCGTCGTTTATGGGAAACAACAACGGGTTGTATACTGATAAGCTCCCCCGGGGACCAGTAGCTGCAGGCGTGGTGGACGAAACCGAGGCCCCCGAAGCCGTCACGCGGTATCTCGGCCAAAATAGTATCCCCTCCCTGTTGAGGGAGCAGTCCGGCGCCAACGACCTGCAAGAGGGCGTCGATATACGGCAGGATATGAGGTCCATTCTCGGACTCGATACCTCTGCGCCCTTTCCCCTCATGTCATCAAAACATCTCGATAGTCTGACGAGGGAGATTTCGGCGGAGCTGCCCTCGGATCGGGAAGTCATGAAGTGAGTGTCTCTTCACTTCACAAGGGACAGGGGGAGGACTAACAAAATCAAGGCTGTTCCGCACATACAAAGAAACTCCCCAACAATTCTGGGGCTTCGTCGTCGATATTGATGACCTCGAGTCTAAGCTCATGGTCTACCTCGAAGACCGCGCGCGCAACGCGAGCAACGCCGCACGCACGCCGAAACCCGTATCCGCTTCATGGCTCGCCATTCTTTTTGCATTGCTGGCCGTTGGGTCGCAATACCACGACTCGCCGTATCATATCCGCACGCGGGACTCCCAAAAGTACATACAAATATCGTTCCATTTCTTGCGGCTCGGCAATTTTTTACTTCGGTTAGTCATCCTCCCTTCTTTGCCTTTCGGCCCCCTTATCTCTTAGAGAATGGGTCCCATCCGGCTATTCGGACAATGACCGTGAAATGTAAACAAAAAACCATCCACTGACCCGAGACCCCACACCGGCTTTAAGACCCACATTCGACTCCATCCAAGCTCTCTTGCTCACCAGCTTCGTCCTTCTCAATGACATGAAGGCCGAGGCCTCGTGGGCCCTGCTTGGTCTGACCTGCAGGCTGGCTCAGTCTCTCGGCCTACACCGGCCGAATCCCTCTGACGGACGGGACAGCGCCCGGAATGATGGACAGTCCAAGGAGATGATCCGCCGGAAGCTGTGGTGGACATGTGTGTGGCACGATACGCTCACATCACTATCCTTTGATCGGTAAGAACAGCAACTCTACGAGAATCTCATAACCAGAAGCACTCTAATAAGAATAGTCCTCCCATGACAAACATCCCCTGCTGCCCGATTCCGACAGTAGCAACCACCATTGCCGGCGAATACGGCTACTTGGACACAATGTATCACCTCTGCGAAATCATCTCGCGGCGTCTGAACCCAGACGTGGCAACGACAGTAAGCTACGAGCAAATGGTTGAAAACTGCGAAGCTGTCGAAAATCTCCGCAACAACGTCGCCCCCAACATTCGCATCAAGGAACAGTGCAAACGCGCCATCGACCGCCTTCAGCACTACGCCGTCCGCCTGCACACCTCCTTCGTCATCTCCGTCTGCTGCCGCCCCGCCCTCCGCCGCGACTGCACCAAGCTCACCCCCGAGCAGAAGCGTCATCTCTCGGACAAGTGCCAGCACAATCTCGCCGAGACGGTCCGCATGTTCCTCGCCATGCACCAGCTGTCCGTCATTCCTACGCGCAGCTGGGCGTTTACGTATCACGGCCTCTCGTCCGCACTGCTCCTCGGTATTCTGGGTGAGACGAAGAACAGCCCCGAGGTCCGTCAGCTGCAGGGCGACCTCATCGCCGCGCTGTCCGCAACGGCCGCGAAGGAGGCCACCTCGCCCACGGCTCACATCCCCAAAACGGACAAGGATATCGAGCTGTCTGGACCATTATGGAGAGCGCTGACGGCGCTGCGTAACATTTACGAACATGGCACCATCATGGGCACGTCGCAGATGAAGGGGACCGACTCCAGCGGCACCGGAAGCGGGGCGAGGACGCCGCTGCCGCCGATGCTCATGGGCCCCATGGGCAATAACGTCAACGGGAACAATGACGGGAAGCCGTTCGGCATGGATCCCCACCAGGACGCGGCTCTCGCCATGGCCGAGATGCAAAATGGTACAGCGATGACGGAGTACACACCAAAGTACGTAATCTCTGAACCTCCCTTTCGCGATCCTTTCGTTCCTCGGATGATGCTAACAAGTCTCAGCATGGGATACCCACCCGTCAGCATGGATAACATTGCCAACCTGGATCCGTCAACGTACATGTCCCCAATGGATCTCTACGAATCAATCTGGTGGGGTAAGTAGCGTTCACGAACCTGTCGCCGGTTGAGACTTACAAGGCTGATCGTTCTATAGAATCGCCCGACCCCTGGAACAGCGGCGTCGATACCATGAACTTTGATTTCGTGGCCCAGCCGCCGCCGGGCCAGCCCCAGCAGCAGTTCTATTTTTGAGTGAAAAAAAAAAGCACAAAGCACACAAAGCATGGGCGGTGTAACAAACAAAATCTTTCTGGATGTGCATCATCGTCGTCATCATCTTTTTCTCGGAAAATCCAATTCAACCAACGATCCAACTAAATCTACTTGACGCAACATTGACTGACTGGGACATGAAAGCGGCGCTTGATTTGCTTCTTTAGGGAAAACGAGGAGGGGCACGAACCTACACACTGTTGGTAACCCCACGATTTGTTTTTGAGTTGGACTTTGGAAAGGGTGATGGGTGGATGGGATGGGTGCTGGGTGCTGGGAGTTGCACATGGCGAGGGGCGGTTGGCTTTGTTGTTATTTTTGGTTGAAAACTCTCTTCAATCTCGATGGATCCAGGCGCTCTTGTTTTTTGGGAACCTTGTTCGCTTCTTCCCACGAACCCTCTTACGAGAGATGGTGTTGATGAAGCTGGCATCTACGGTGTTTAATCATGTTCTTTTCTAGGGCTTCCCACCTGTTACGATTCAGGAGTGGTAGTCAAGATGCCGCCTTGCTCTTTGGTCGCAGTTTGTCTAGCGGATGTGTCGATACTGGGTACGACGTTGCTTTGCTTCAGCTGTAGGATAGGACAACTAGCAAAGTAAAGAGAAAAGCCAATCTCACCATCGTGACCCCTACTGTGTGTATGTTGCGTGTGTACTTTTGGCTAGCATCCATGCCGTGGGTGGGTACTGAGAGTCGGCCTCGTTCTTCAATATCGGCCCCACGCCTAGGCCCGGCCGACTTGTAGCATCGGCGAAGGAGGTCGGCGATGGTGTAAGAGCGGGGCCAGTCCGACCGGAGGAATGTCGTGCAGTCTACCTACCCAAACCCCCGCACGCAATTGTAGGTTAGCCTGGTTGTAGACAAGGTCAAGAAGCAGCCACGCAGCCGATCAGTCAGAGAAGCGTGCTCCGCCACAGTGCTGGGTAAATAGACAGATTGGGTGAGGCGGCAGATCCCATTCTTCCGGCGGTGGACGCGCGGCTAGGGTGAACCCTTCAAACCCAAACTCAAGCCTCGACAACGGCTGCGACAGGCGATGGGTAGCCGGCACAACTCGAAACGAAGACTGTCATCTCACAGATCAAATGCGCAGTTGATGGGAGACTAGAATGGTGCTAGTGACGTACTTGTGGTGGCTCGTGGTGCGAAATGGTCGACAATCTGGTAAGGACAGCCCAGTTAAACCGCCGGCAATGTTCGTTGAATTTTGTGTTGCAGAGCCTTCAACACCAAGGTTGGCACGTTGCATGCAACCAAGTTGTGACAGCCAAGAGTTGAGTTGAACAGCGGGATGGGCTGTGAAACCTGTACAGCTCGATCCAAACTCTACTGCCGGAAAGAGAGGTCTTCGGGGTCCTGGCCTTGTTCCGTGGCGATGGGATGATGGGATTATAACCTTGAATCAACCACAGGTACCAATGCTGCTCACACTTCCTACGTGCCTATCAATCAAGGTGAGCTCCGAGGCACAATTGCAAGACTGAATGGAAATATCGACTTCAAGTAAGATATGCCTTGAGCAACCCCTACGATGGTCCAATCGCGGATGCTGGCACGGGGCTGGAAGTTCGCCGGGCCATCGGCATGTCGGAGACACGCCCCGAGCTCATATTGAAGATTAGGGGATTGAGGATTGAGTGAGTTACGTCTGAGCTCAACCAATAAGCTAAGCCCAAACAGTCTTGGATGCAGCTTGAATTGCACGTTGCAGTGTTCCAGTCTTGGGGATTGAGCGGTTACCTGTGCCGAAAGCTGGACGAAACCAGCATCTCTGAAAAGTAGCGTCGAACGTGCTCTACGAATAGTCAATCGAGGAAGCGTAAGACCCCTCCCCCACGAGTCAAGGGCTGATTCGGCATCTACAGTGTGGGGGGAGAATGAGCAAGAATTGCGTGTCGGTACGCATAGCCGTAGCCTTGTATGCGTCAAGCTTTTTGCGTCCACGATCCCCTCATCATCCGTACGAATAGGCCGCTTAGGACCCGGCCGACCAGATGCGCGGTCTTGATGCTGACGGTCCGCGGAGGCCGCTTTAACCAGTCGCCAGGGAACTGCCCTGAAAGCTCTTGACTCCTCAAGAGACAGGGATTGCTCTTTACTCCCGCGTATTGTCCCCGTTCAGTGGAGCCCCCAGGCATTGGCCAGTGGGTTTGGTATGGTTGCTGACATCTCAATGTCATTGCGAGATTGACGGGAAGCTTGACATGCAAAGCGCTGGGATTTGGATCCAATCCAATAGAATAGACCTTGGTTTGTTGGTTGGAAGGGATTTTCAAATCTTCACCACAGTCCCTCGGCAGCGGAATAGGTTTGTTTTTCTTTCATCTGGTCTCGATGTCAATTTGAGAGTCCGGCAACAGATGTTTAATCCGTCGCATGTGTGTTTCTTGGATCCAGAAAAGTGAGGTGGTTTCATTAATATGCCGTCATGTCTGAACACCAGCCATTTGCAACGCCAAGGCGGATGGATGCCGGTGAAAACAATTCCTCCTGCTTTCAGAAACCTTGACTACCGGCGGCCTTCCCCCATACCTTGCGTACTGAGGGCTGTCGGGTGTAGAACTTGAGACGAAATATGACAATAGGCATTGACAAGATTGGCACTGGGCTAGCCTGCCAGATGGGAGGATGGTCGATCGAGCCCTGTCGGGTTGATAGAGGGCTGTCGCGAGTGCGCTGAATGATAGCGTTGATGTGTGTGTGTGTGTGACCCCTTGTGGCTGCTGCGAATTCAGGAAGAGAGGTGCAAGGAGTCGCGTGCGATTTCTCTAGTCCCATAATTATACGGATAGAGGAGCTCGTGAATGGTTAGATCAGTCGATGGAAAGGCGATACGACGGTGACGGGCAAAATCCTCATCGCTGGCAAGGTGCTGACCACCGGTTCCATGTGGGGATGGTTGCGAACAGCTTAGCTTAGGCCTGGGCTTCCCAGCGCCACTGCTTAAGCTTGTCAGTTGACTATGCCGATCCCAGATTGTGGTGGTCGCCGACCTAGGCCCGGCTGAGGAATTCAATGGTGGCATGCTGAGATTTTGTCTCAAGCTTGAATAGGGCCGGCGATCACAGATGAGACTGAGGAAACAAGTCGTTGGTCAGTCCCCAGCACAGTAGGTATCCGTTCAATGGTGTCCTCGGCCTTGCAGCCAGCAGGACCGGCGCATCGTCCTGCTTGGCTCGATTGTTGCAAAGGATGTGAATGTGACTTTGAAGACGCAGTACTTTATGTAGATAGGTACTCCGTAGTTCAGCTTGACTGCAGTCTGGGTTTGGGCCTTTAACGCAACCCAGCCAACGAAGGACCCGGGACCCAACTGCCATTATGTAAGTGCTGAGAGTTTGGAACTGTATTTCGTAGAACGAGAAGAGAAGCGAGGCGCGCGGGATGCTGTCAGAAGTTACATTTCATCTGGTTTGAAAGACTGCAATGGCTTGGAGCCTTAGACAACCGGGCGTGCCAAGACAGCTAGCATGCGAATAGCGTTACGGGGCTTGACGGTTCCTCTTCGGCTGGCGATGCTCGTTGTCCGACGGACCACCACTTTTCCCCTGCTCTTTCTTCATTCCGCTGGAGCTAAAGTAGCCGCTGTCGGGATTCGGAGCAAAAAAAGCAGGACAGATAGCGCCGCTCATCTGACAAGGGTTTCGCAAATTGGTGCGATGTGCTTGACTGCTTGCGAAACCAACTGAGATGGGTTTCTTGTGGCGCACAAAAAGGCATGCTCAAGCCTGAGTGTGCCAGCAGAGCTTTTCAGCCTAGCTACCTACAGTGGCTGATCCTTTGGAGAGATGGGTGCCGGGGGTGCCTGATGATTGGAGAGGATGACGGCAGATGGGCAACAAGGTTGTGGCTGGCGTCTGGGGCTAGAGCGAGGCAGAGAGACAGCAACTGGTCGCCCGCCAGAACTCTGTTGACCGTCTTTCAACGACGACAGCGACACATGACAGCGAGGCAATGCTGAAGCCTGAAGGTCCTGCTGAGTGCGTTCCTAAGGTAGGTAGGTGGTGGTGATGGTTCTTGGTCCGGATGGATGGTGATCTGTGGTCTAGGGATGGTCGAGGGCATCCAAGAGCTGGCAAAGACCAAGATTGGGTACGTGAGTAATTGCGAATAAGGGCAGCAGTAACAGCAACATCGGACCAAACAAAGTCAGTCATCCGTAGACGTGCCGAAGTGATGATGCGGTGACTGGTGAGTAAGGGGAGTAAGATGTTACTCTGTAGAGCTGGCAGAACGTAAGAGGATCAGAATGCCGAAAAGCTGTGCAGGATGCAATTACCGTACATAGTGAGGCAGGTACCTACCCCCGTACGCATACTCCGTATGGGCACTTCGTCATCAACAGTTGTCTGTACTACGTACGGGAGGACAGGAGGAGGCTTGACGAATGATGGCTGTGCTGTGCAAGGGCTAGGTACGCAGTTCGCCGTGAAGGAAGGAGTGGGCGGGCACTGGGCAGGGGTCGGAGGATGGAGCGATGGCCATGGAAGGCGCCAAGACGCGTGGCCCCCAGGCCACCAGGCGCAATGGGACAGAGGAGGTACGAGAGTACCTTATTTCGTACCTGCTCTGAATCATGGCACTCTCCTCAGCTACCTATACTTAGGCACCTAGGTAGTAGGTATCGTAAATCTCAAAACTTCCAATCTCCAAAAAAAAATCAACGACAGACTGCATTCTCGGGGATGCGAGGGAAGGTCCAGACAGAGTTGAGCTTCCCGCCGCAACGGTAAGGTAGGTACCGTCATAGAGGGAATCCATGGAACCTGGCAGTCAGGAAGGCAGGTTTGAGGCTGCGAGAGTTTATGATGATGGGGGATGGGGAAGGGCCCGAGGAACGGTGAGCAGAAACCCGAGATTTGCACCTGCCCCGTACCTTCATCCACACACGATAACCTTCCCAACACAGCACTCCGTTCCATCTTGAAGGAGACGGATTGTGTGTACGTACCCAAGCAGCACACGCAGCAGGTGCG